GGGCCTGGCCAGGTGGATGTTCCCCTGGCAGGGGTCAGCCGGAGCAGGTGAAGCGGTCATTTCAGGTAACCCCCATTAGCCCCACGGGTGGTAGGATGGAGCCTGTGAAGGGAGCTTAGGGAACACCCTGAGTTTGAGGTGCAGCCTTAGCCCCCCAGAACACATCAGGCATGTGAGGATAATTTAGTCTTTGGGAATTTTTCCAGCAGATGAACAGAAAAAGAGCAGAAGCAGGGTGACTTTTGAGGCAGACTCATTTTGCTGGTGAAAGGGAATTACAGACGTGCCCCCCTCCCTTCCCCGCAGTAGTGTCAACACCTTTCTTTTTCTGTTTTCCCCTCGAGTCGCTGATTGCTCTCTTCCCTAGAGCAGTTCAATGGGTAGAAACGTAGCGAGGGCATTGGCAGCTTTTACCTCGGCATCATCCAGCCCTGCTGAGAGGCACTCGACACACAACAGCGCTAAAAATGCTGGCAGAGGTACAGCCCCGCTCACACGGGTGTTCCTCTCGCTCCTGCCGCCAGCCAGGGAAGCCGTACGCCTCAGAGTTGGGGGTTACAGGAGTCAAAGAGATTGGGGCTCCCCGGGGGTGCCTGCGTTGCCGCTGGCTGGCTTTCTGGTGGGCTGGGATCGAGCTGGCCCCTGACCAGCGCTGGGGACTGCTCTGAAGCACACTCTGCAATCAGGCTCCTTGAATTGCTGCAGCTCTTCTCTGCGCCAAGCAGTGCTTCTCTTTTGGATGGATGTGGTGTTAAATGCTTCAGCAGTAAAGAGGCTTTGTTGTGGTCTCTGCAGCATTGCTTTTTGCCTTGGCTAGCAGCGGCCTTTTTGTTTGACTAAATGCTTTCCCTGGAGCTGGCTGTGGGGGTCTGTGTGGGCACATGTGTGTGCGGGCCTGTACTTGCGGGTGTACGTTGGCCATGGCTGTGAACGTGCAATTCAGGTGGGTTCAGCGCTTGCCCAAACTTGCTGATTTTTCATGTGTGCTGGAACAATGTGCTGCTCCTCACAGCGGGGAATGCTGGCCACTCTTGTTAGTTTTTAATGGTGCTTGAGTGAAATTAATGGGCACTTTGCAGCTAGGAGCAGGAACTGTTGCTAGCACCTAACCCAGTCCTGCATTTAGTCTCGGGAAGTGATCAGCATTCGCTGCGTCAAAGGAGGGACCAAACCACAGGGACCCTGGCCAGTCTGTACTGTGGTAGGGCTACAGCTGGACAGTCAGTTCCTTCCTTGTCCTGCTGCAGGGACCAGCTCAGACGCAGCAGAGTACTATGTAATGCATGAGTGAAGGTCATACAATGACCTATATTCCTTTGGAGCTTTGTAATTTATTTCCTTTGGCACAGGTATCCTGGTTAGTTCCACCTAAGTTTTGGGGGGGATCAGTTTAGTTCTGCTACAGGCTGGTAATAGAAATGCACAACTGCCCAGTTTTTCCTCATCTTCCTCCCATTTATGTCTCCAGGGTGAAAACCCAGTCCAGAATCCCCAGACAAAATTGAATTAGAATTTAAGATTAGAATTTAAGATTCAGGCTCCCTTTAGGCTCTAAGGAACAGAATGTCATCCTGTCTCACAGTTAATAGCTGCTGGGTAGTCGTTTCAAAGCCATTTCTTTTCAGCGAGCTCTGCCATGGCAAATCCCAGCAGTGAATGTATTTCTGGCCTGGCCGTGCCTCTAATCCCACAGCTGAGTTTTACATGTGATCTCTTTTGAAATGCTAGATCTATATTTTTTTTTCAATTCCAGACAGTGATATTTCTAGGTCTCAGCGTTTCGAGTGGCAGCAGGGTTGTTTATGGGAAGAGAAGGGAAGGACGGAAGGATGATGTTGACCTAGCAGCCCTACAAACCTACCGCACTTAATCCACTTATCGCTCTGAATTCCTGAAGCAGATAAATGCTGATAAAAGTTAAAACACATCACTGAGAGGAGCAGCATGTTCTGTCCTCTAGAAATACATCAATGCTGGAAATTGCCAAGCTGTGTGCTGCCATGGGGATGAGCGTGATATAAGAGCCGAGGAGGCTCTCGCTGTTCAGCAGAGTCCATCCACAGGAGGGTAAGTAAGCCCCTGCCCCAGCTTCCTCGAGATGCCTGTTCAGGCCTGAGAAATGCTGCCCAGCTCTGCTGTGACCCTACAACCCCCGGACCTGCAGCAGCCTGATCTGTGCCTGTATGTCTGAAACACCAAGTGAGCCCCAAGTATCTCGTTACCACTCTTGATTGTCCTTGCTGCTCAGCATTAAGACCTGTGAGGGGAGATTTCCAGCTGAGACCAGCCCTGCGCAGCTCACATCAGCCTGTCTTGGGGAGAGGAGTTGGTTTTGGCTAATCTGAGCTAAACCTTCCCTGGAGGACTGCAGCTGCTGCACCAGCCTCGCCGAGCTGCTCGCTGCTCTCCCCGTCTGTCAGGGCTCCCAGCGAGGTACTGGAGCCTTCCCTGCGCTCAGGGGCCGCAGCTGCACAACACCCCCTGTGTCAAGACCCCTTCCTCGTGAGACCTGTCCCAGGCTGAGAGGGAGAAAACATGCTGCGAACCAAAGGCTGCTCTGGAGCAAGCCTTGCTCCTGCAAACTCTGGAGGTTATAAAACAACTGACAGAGAGTGGTTTTGATGAAGCATGGTTTACAGGCTCATCCAGCTGCTTAGGTCTTTCCCTGCAGGGCCATCTCCCATCAGTCTCCACAGCACAGCACCCCGTGTGGGTGAGCACCCTCAAAACTGCTTTCTTGTGGGCAGTGCAAATGTCTCACAAGAAGTGCAGAAGAAGGAAGCTGCCTAGAGAGAAGTGAAGACCTCTCAGGCATCAGGGTCTCTTTGAGTCAGACACTGCTCAGCTATTGCATTGCAGATGTCTCGGCTGAAAACAAGCTTTTGTTGAAATCAAAGACTCTTCAGGAGTATAGGTGGCAGGATCCTCCCACAGAAAGATGGTTTTCTTCTTCAAAGGGCTCCCCTTAGATTTCCCTACAATAGATTCCTTAGGCTTGCCTGCATTGTGAAGCTGATTCAGAGCCTGCATTGTGTGGATCTGAAACGTCCCAGCTGCTAGGGATGAATTTGCTGCTTGGTTGTTCTCACTTGTGGAATACAAGTGCCTTCCTCCAGAGTGACCTAGTGGAGGAGCTGGCTGTGGAGGGAACTTTTACAGTCAGGAGTGCAGTGGAGCTGTTTCTCTGCACTGACTGCTGGTGTGGGTAGTTGCTTTCTGTGCTGAAGGCAAAGCAGGTGATCTCACACTGGAGTGTTCACATATAGAAGGAGTTTGGCAGGGCTGCTGTGCCCTGAACTCACGCCCTTTGGCACTGCCCAGTAGCTTCCCCATTTGAACAAAGCATTTAATTAAGATAATTTGAAATAAGGTGCCCTTATTCCAAAACCTGAATGGTCTGTGCGCTGAGGTAACTGGGAATAGCTGTTCCAAAACAACTATGTAAACAAATCCTTGCAAAATGATGGTAAAAATCCTACTGTGCTACCTTTAAGCTTGTTCATTGTGCCAGAGACAGATGAATCCTTCCCTGAATTTGAGTGCATTCACCTCAAATGGCCTCAATATGCATCAGTCAAAGCATGTTTTTTTCAATAGCCCAACATGGTGATGGTGCTTTGGTCGGTGTGGAAGGTGACAAACTTTGCTTTAAATGCACCTGGTGTTTTATGGTCCTCAGGAGACAAAGCTCTAGGCAGTAAAGAGCTCATGACCTCATCTCTGGACGTTTGCTGGTAAGTGTGACACCATTGTAACAGCACAGAGAAATGAGCCCTGGTGTGGGGAGGAGTCTGAAAAGCAGAAGAGCCTGAGTCTGCCAGGGCCAGCTCTGCAAAGGCAGCGTGTGCCCATCCTGCCCAGCCCCTCGCAGGCAGACGGGAGGGGATCACCACCTGCCCCGGCGTGGGAGCTCCCGACAGACCCGCGTCTCCTTTGCCTTTTGGATCGACGTGTCTGGGTGCTTTCTGACAGCCTCTGACCCTCGTCATGGCCTCTAATCTAAAAGTCATCTTCCTCTTTCTTTCGTTGCTTCAGTGTGGAGGTAAAAAAAAAAAACCAAACAGGTTTTTAATTCCTTTTGTTTACTCTCACGTTTGCTCATATTAGAGCATTTCCAGCTGCTATCTTTTGCTAATTTCCAGAGATCCCCTCCAGGAATTTGCACGCTGCTGCTATTTCTGTCTTTTAAGCATTTCAAAGCTGAGAGAGAGGATCCTTAAGAAAGAAGGAACATGGGAGAAGGACTAGATAACCTAAATAAAATGGTTTGGCTTTTTCCCTGGCATGCTCTGCTCAAGCGAATGGCTCCTGGGATGCTGTAAGGAGATGGATCTCTGCTCTGTTTTGTTACAGCAGTTCTTAGCCACGTCTTGTATAGAAACTATATTCATGTGTGTTCTGCTGGGTAGAGATGAGGAGAAGGATGATGAGTGATGAATTATTTTAGAAGATAAGGCCCAGAAGAGACCTCTCAGGTTATCACTGCCCCGCTGCCTGCAGGATGTTCTGTTACAGCCTCTCCATAACGTTGTATCTCATGTGCACAGGACTGTGCACACCAAGGAGTGAGCGTGTCCCTTAGGACTGCGCCATGTCCCGGCTGCTTGTACAGCTGAGAACCTTTCTCTGGTGGTGTAACCTAAGCTGCTCTTTATCTCAGGCTATTGTCCCTGGATGTGTCATCTGTAGAGGGTTTTCCTTGACAGATGTTACTCCCAGGCAGTCCTTCCTGGGCAGCTGCTGTGCCCTTCCTGCAGTGTCACCCCCAGTGACTGTCTCTGGGCCCCGCTGTGCCCAGGTGTGATGCAGCCCTGGTGCACAGGGACAGGGCAGCAAGCCTGGCTGTGCTCTGGGAGAGCTTTTGTGCCTCGTGAGGAGCCTGTTCAGAGGTGCAGAACCCCAGGGAATCCCATCAAAAGCCTGAATGGAAAAGCCTGCCCATCCCCTACTTTCTTTTTTTTTTTTTTTTCCTCTCTTCTATTTTCATGTCTCTGAAAGAATCCTTCATTTTGTAAGGAGACTTGCATGTTAGCTTCAGGTTCCCTTTTTTAAAGGCAATGATGGTTTGCATGGCCCTCTTAAATTGCTTCATATGTGGTGTTAGTCAGCTGCTAAACAAATAGACCCAAAGACTGATGTTAAACCCAGATTTGGCTGAGAAGCCAAAGAAGTCTTGTGCCCCAGGCTCCTCACCAGCCTGTAGCTCACTCTTAGCTTTTTTGGGATTTTATTAAACAAAACAGGGAGTAAACCATGGTGTGGTTCCTCATCGGTGCTTATTCACCCTCTCTTGCCACTCCTGACATCACTGTCTACTGAATTGCAGTGATGGATCACTTACAAGAGCCCTGTCTGTGGAAGGAGGAAGCACACGAGGGGCAGGATCTCCCATCTCTCTGCCTCAGATAGTGTCACACAAATGTTTAAGATCTGCAGTCTCCTGCAGATAGCTCCATATCTAGCATCAGGTCTTGTGCTTTGCTGCCCATTCCCAGCAGCAGAGGTTTGGAGGGGTTACTCCGTGTCGTTTCTGGTGGCCCCAGGGGGTGGCCTCCGTGCAGAATATGCAATTTCCTTCCTCACTCCTGCTTCAGAGGTACCCGCTGGTGCTTGGCCCCTGGTGCCAAGGGCATACCACCTTCAGGGCACAGGCTCGGGCGGGGCACACACAGGGGCCCGGGCAGAGCCCCGTGACTGGGGAGCGCCAGGAGCTGCCTGGGTGGTGCTTCTCTGGGGGAACAGTTTCCTCTCCATCCCCTTAAACCCAGCCTCACACTCTGCAGAACCAGCTCTCTCCCTCCCTCACTTCCTGTCCGTGTGCTGGCGTCACGGCGGAGCTCACGAGGGAGAAGGGGAAGCCTGGGAACGCCACGGGCTGCTGCGCATCACCCAGCAGCTGCCCCAGGGATGTGGCAGATCTCACAGGGCACGTGTGTTCTGGATCACTCTAACAAGGGCCAACGCTGCGTGCTATGGGTGTGCTTCCTGACACGCTCATTTTCCTGTGTGATCCTGTCATAGGATCATTGAGGTTGAAAAAGACCTCCAAGATCATCAAATCCAACCATCAACCCAACACTGCCACTAAACCATGTCCCGAAGTACCACAGCTACACGTTTTCTGAGCACTGTGTCTGGGGCAGCAGTCCCCCCTGACCTGAAGTAATTTTAAGTGCATGCTAACACCTATTACCCTTGCAGGGGGAGATGTCGCCGTAAAGCAGAAGCCTCCAATCCAGGTTGCACTGCTGAAGGAAGGAATATCCATCCCCTGTGAGGTCAGCTTCCCTTACATGCCAAAGTACACCAAATTTTCAATCTTCTATTACTGGATTAATTCACTGGACCAGAAAACACCCATCTATAGCAGGTCAGAAAATGTAGCCATCCCTTCTGGAAAAGAGAATAAGACTGCTACCTTAACTTACAACCACAAAATTGTGCCACTTGAAAGCACCTCTCCCACTGGCACATACTACTGTGAGGTCAAATGGAATGGCATCCAGAAAATGGGAAAGGGAGTGTTTGTCCTTGCTAGAGGTAAGTGAACAACCAGGAAGGAAGGACAGGTGGTTAAAAATCAGCTGGATCTGGCTGTGAAAAGATTGCTCTTCTTTTCCTCTGCCCAAACAGTCTGTAAAGTCAGGTGGGAATAATGCTTCATGCTCAACACTTAACTGCCATCAGAGCTGAATGCACTGTACGCAGGTGACCTGTGCTGCTGTTCCCAGTGCCCACATGGGGACATGCAGATGCAGTAACTTTTATCCAGCCTGTGGTGGCCTCCTGGGAGCAGCAGGCTTAAAGTCAGGCTCTAACCAGGGAGCCTGGGCACCGGGTCAGAGAGTGCCTTGAGGTGCTGAGGAAACTGCCTTCAGCAGCGTGACAGAGGCGGCTGAAGACTCAGTCCATGGTTGGGGTGCTCACTGTAACCAGATGCACGGGTTAGGTGCTCCCCATTGGGGGCTAACAGACAGGCTGGGGGCTCCCCATAATCCCTTCTCCTTTCCCGTGTAGTACAAGGGGTTGGTGGTCCCATTAGTGGGCAGTCTGGAAAGCAGGGGAGAGCTTCACACCAGGATGAGAGGAATGTTCTAGAATAGTGCTGAGGATGTGCATGCTGCTGTCTGGCTGGGTTTGAGTCACTGAATGCTGGGTGTGAAAAACTTCTCGGTGTAAATGGAAAGAGCCCTGGTGGAGAAGCTTTGCTGCACTGCTCAGAGGGTGCCTGCAGTACCCACCCTGCTAGGATGTGTGGCCTCTCTGCTTTCTACCACCTGTCCTTGTGCCTCTATCACTAAAGAACTTTGCCTCTACCTACCACCTTTCTTGGCTCTCATAGTTATGTCACCTCCCTCTAATCTACATGAAGTGCAGCTGCTTCTATCTTGTCTGTTTTGTGTGGTTCTTAACTGCATCCTGGTCTCTGTTCAGTCAGACTATGTTTGGAAGGGTGTGTGCATCTGTGCTACCATATTCTGCACTGCTTCTGTATTCTAGTTCTCCCAAGGCTCTTTCCAGGGTTAAAAATGCAGCAGGATTGTAACTTCTACTCACACCGAATCTTTTGCCTTGTTTCTTACAGGTACAGGGTATCCAGAGACCTCTTATGGGTGGGAAATCCTCATTACCCTTACTGTTTTTCTTGCTGCATTGAGCATCACTGCAACAGCTCTGCTTCTGTGGAAAAGAAAGGCAAGTTACAACCAAACAAAAAGCAATACCTGACACAACGCACTCAAGGAATTTATTTAATTTGCTTCTAATTTGGCTGGATTGGAAGTCCCCATGCTGAAACTTTCCATGCAGAGTGCCTGCCTCAGGTTCATTTTCTTTTTTTTAAGTTCAGTCTTTCTGATATAAAAAGATTAGAGGAAAGACAAAACGAGTCATTGATTTGTCCATTAAAGAAAATCTGGTAATCATACTGACTCCAGCATGCTCTGCTTTAGAGCAAGGATCTGATGCAGGGCATGAAGTCACACTGGCAGTGTGCTAGCCCTGAGAATATTCAAGGAGATGTGGCCTTTTGATGTGTTGGTTTTTTTTAATTGCAGCTTGTGAATGCTCAGTCTTGATCCTTGTTAGTTTAGCAGCTCTGTTGTCTGAAGGAGGCCTTGTGAGGCTGCTTCTCAACACGGTGCCAGCCAGACTGGCAGCGTCCTGTGCACCCAGGGAAGGCTGTTCCAGCCCTGGTGGCAGGAGGACAGGACTCGACCCCTTTCTAATCCTCTTTCAAGCTGGGGGCTACTCTGGTTCAAGGGCATGACCTACTTGCAAGGAGACTGTGCAACTGTGTTTATGGGCTATGGGTCAGGCACCACAGAAGAAAACAATGTGCAGTGTGGAGGGGATAGGGACCAGAGCCTTGGGCATGTTTTTGGCAGAGGAAACACTGAAAGACAGATTGAGAGGGGAAGGTCAAGATAAGGATCCCAAGGAAGCCTGTGTTGAAGTGCCAACTAACTGGAAAAAAAAAAAAGAGAGAGGCAAGGACTGGAGGAGCAACCTGCTTTAGCTGACTCTGCTTTGAGCAGAGGGGAATTGGACTAGACAATCCCCAGAGGCACCTTCCAACAGCAGTGATTCTGTGAGGCTGGAAGAAGGAGCCTCAAGAGGGAAGCTGGGACTGGAGCCCAGGGTGAGGAAGCACTGGAGCTTGGGGGAGTGTGTTAAGATCAGACTGACAGGGCCCCTCAGGTGAACAGACTAGTGGCATAGGTTGGCACCAGCTAGGTAAGGAAGTGGAAGCTGGGTTGAAGTAGCTGAGGGCAAAGGGGAAAGCAGGAGTGGGGAAGAAAGGATGCAGAGAGTAGGAGAAGAAAAGCCAAAAGTAGTGCTGAAAGATCTGGATGAGGCAGGGGCCCTGTGGAAGAAACTCTGGAGATGTGATACTGGAGTCCCTGTTGTTTGGGGAAAACTTACTGCTCCTAGTACTGCTGCCTTCAGGCATTCAAACAACATCCTCTGCATTCTTCCAGAGATCTCCAGGCTGCCTTAAAAAACCCTGACGCCTTTTAGGATGGAATTTGGGGATTGTTGTTTCTAGGTGGAGTATGCCTTGTATTTACTCCTTCAGGCTGCCCTCTGCCACCACAACAGCAGACTCTGCATGCATTTTTATTTGGAGGCTGTGCTGCTGGTCCAGTCTGTGACTCCAAGGAGCATCAGGCTTCAGCACACACAGCCCGCGATGAGGGGGCTGCAGCTGAACTGCAGCAGCTGGCAGAGCTGCTCGTCCCCAGGGACTCACCTCGCAGGCAGGCGGGTGGCGGGGAAGGGGCGTACGGCAGCGTGAGGGTCCGTCCCACCCCCAGCCTGCCCAGACAGCGCCTCCGCGGCACGGGCAGAGAGCCACTGCCACAACCTGCCACTGCCACAGCCTGCCCGGTGGGGTCTCTAGGGTGCGAGATGGGCCAGCAAGTCCCAGACCTGAGGCGTCTCCTCGGGGCCTGAAGAGATGGTGCAGCCATTACGTTTGCCCTCCTGCAGAACACAGCCCATATTTCTCACCACAGCTAACTCAGACCTGCTGGTTTAAAAATGTTTATCTTTAAGAGAAGCTATTTAGCATCCTCCTTAGTTACTAATGGACTGGAAAGCAGTTCATCGTTCTCATGTGATGTGAATATAATCATCCCACTTCTTTCGGAATTAGAACAGGGATACTTAGCAAAGCCTTCTGCATTTTCTGCCTCCTCTCTTGCTTGCTGAGCAGGGCTAACCCTTATCTGTGCATGAATCAAAGGTATTAAAGGGAAACTCATCTGAGGCAAGAAATAGTTCAGAAGAAGAGACCTTCAGCTCCATGCTGGACTTGCACATTAGGGTGTCACTGACTGTATGTCGTCATTAATGGTCATTTGGTGCTCTTCACTACAGACTGTGTTTTAACAAAAGCTCCCTGGCCAAATCCTGACAAAAATGACTGCATTTTGCCTCTCTGAAATCCACACACACGCACTCTGAACAGGGCCATGCTTTAGTCCCTGTCCTGCAGCATTATTGTGTGTGTTAAATACTTACACACCCTCTGTCCAGCTAAGTTTCAGAGGTGGGAGTGATTTCCATGTGTGCACAGACCCCAATTCTCCTTTCCACTGCTCCAGTGGAAGTCATCAGACTCCTCAGCTTTACTCTATGCTGAGGAAAGGAACCAGCCTGTGTTGTGCAGAGAGTGCCAGCACTCTTTGCTGTGAGAGCACTTGGGAGGTGTGCAGGCAGCTGGCTTTGACATGACATTGGTCTTCACTTCATCTTTGGGGAGATGGTGTTTTCTCTAAATGTGTTATTTGGTGTCTTCTCCTGAGCAGATGTGGTGCCCTAGAAGAAACCGGCTAAATGTCCTGAATCAGAAGGTGGAAACACAGCCCCCTTCAGCCAGCCCACCACCACCACCATCTCCTCCTCCTGTCTATGATGTAAGTACCAGCACCACGCTCCATCCCTGCTGTCTGCAGCATTGCCCTGCCCTGCCACAGACAACATGAGTATCAGCAGTACCTGAGTGCCTAGTAGTGCCAGGGAGAGGTGTTTCCCCCAGTGACCCCAGCTGTATGTAGCGCTCCTGCGCTGACACCCTCACAGTGCTGAGCAGGCTGACTAGAGTCGGGGAAAAAGGACAGGAAGAAAGTGGGGGAAGTTTCTTTTTCAGAGCATTTCCCTTTTCATTGCACAGGGTCTCCTTTTCCCTTCCCCAAACTGGGGAATGCCAAGTGCTCATGCTCCTTGGGCCCAGGAGCTGCAGTGTCATACGTAATAAGATTGGAGTGGCTCTCCTGAAACGTCAGGCCCAGACCTCAGCTTCCTCAAGCAGCCATGACCCCTAATCCCTTTTACAACCCATCCAGCTCCATTTAAAATTAGTTCCTTTTTCTCCCTTTACACCCCTGGGAGAGCAGCTCCGCTAAGAAGGGAAGGGTTTTTTTCTGCCCCCCAAGATCTGTGGGACAAACAAGGAGGAATAAAATGAAAGTGAATAGAGGAGGATGTTCCCTGAATATTAGGAAACCTTTCTGACTGTGAGGTCTGTAAGGGCTGGAAAAGTCTCTCAGAGGAAAACCTGTGAGCTCTGCTGCATTAATCATTTAAACTAAACAGTGCAAAGCTCTGGAGAATGTGTTACAGAGAGGAGTAAAGCTCTGCCAAGGAGACAGGAGACCTGATAGGGGACAGAAATGATCAAGAGGACGGGCCTGCCCCCTTCTCATTCTCTCTCTGGGGGTGGGGAGCACCATTTTGTGACCCTTTAATTTTTGCAGCAGAGGTTTAAAAGAGAGCACTGTGTATGGCATGTGGCTGTTTATTCTGGGCGAAAAGCAACGCTTTGGGTAAAGGAGGTTGCAGGTTATAAACCTCTTCATTTGTATCAAGTAATTTCTTTTTAATTCGGGCTTATAAAAATCTGAATGGGGAGC